ATAACTGAGTGTACCTTTTAAGTGTTATAATTCAGTTTCAGGCAGTGTTGATATTGTTGACTACAACTAAAACTATTAAAATGTTTACAGTAATTAAAGCTGAAATCAAATAAAATACAAATCTTATGAAAAATTATGACAATTATTGCTTTGGCAGCTAACTAAAACAAATAAGTTGAAGTTGAAGTTCTCAAAAACTGAGCTAAATCATATATTAAACTAATAAAAATCACAAAAGCACATATAAAATTACTTAAACATAAACTAAAATTTTAATTAAAACTATAAATAAAAAATAAAAGCTAATTAACAATATTTAAAAATGCTATAAAAGCATATAATTAATACTAAAATAACACTGATTTCAGGCAGGGTTTTTGGACCACTAAAGCAAAGTGGCAGTATCTATCTTAATCACTTACTCACATACTAACAAGAAGTACAGAGTGGATCAGTATTGGGAAAAGATGGAGAGTCACTTGCTTTGATGAGGGAGGATCATCATTAAATCAATGGAATAGATCCAGACATCAGTGTCTCCATTCGCCAAATACAAATGCATAACAACATGCTTGAGAGCATCTGATAGCTGACTCACTCACACCCCCCCCCCCCCTCACCTCACTCACACACTCGCATCCTTCCTAATTCTCCTCATAAGAATATCTACAGATTTAAAAACATCTACAGAAGCTTGTCCAGCTGCAGCCTATTGTAACACATCTTTTCCCTTCCTATTAAATGTCTTCTCTTATCTGAAACAATTATGATTTCAATTTCCATTTTCCGTCCTTATATTCATCTCAATATCAAACTGCATTAACATGCATTTGTTCCTGTGCTGTTGGTCTGACAGGTGAGTTGGCCTGTTAGTGATTGAACTGTCAGAATCGATGATTTAAGAGGGATCCACACATGCTTCTTAACATCTGTCTCATTCCTCAATCTCATGTGGACAGTGCAAGCAAATAATGTTAATCACACCTGAGGGTGTATCTGGCTGTCTAGTATGCATTTTTAAAATGATCCCCTTACATGCAAACTTCAATACAGGAGCAATTTCACCAACTCGACTGACACCAAGCAGGTTGGGGCAAGGATGAATGAGGCTGTGGGTGAATGTTTATGACATATTGGCTGTGTCATCTGTCCAAATATGCTGTGTAGGTAGGTAGGTTGTAAGTTAAATAGTAATGTGTTACTTTACTAGTTACTTGAAACAAGTAATCTGATTACGTAACTCGCATTACTTGTAATGCGTTACCCCCAACACTGGTCATCAGCAAGGTTCCTATATCAGAATATCACTAAATACGACGGTTCATTCTCACAAAGATGAAATGACCAAACCCCACGCCTATCAGATTACTTAATGTAATGATCGTACTTAAATGTCACTCAATCAGAAGCGATCTGTCCTCAAAGATAATACTGTCTTTACATGTAGAAATCCCCTACGGGGGTTTCGCATCATCATTTAACAGTTAACAAGATCTTACATGATTTAGCCACTTACCTGACGGTTCCAACAGATTAATGCCTGTTAAATTAGAAGTAAAGAACAAACACTGAAACCCCAAAGGGAAATTCGAAATGAATGTTGAGAGGGTGAGTAACAATGTTTAACATACTCAATTAGTTTAGCCATTTATATTATGAAGTTACCTGAGGCTTACAGCAATTCTAGAAAGAAAACAAGAGACAGTTTTGGATTTGTTGTTGTTATTGTTTTGGTGGTATAAACTCTACACAGTTCCAATCAGAAGAAGACAAGCTACAAAGTTCACAAATGCGTACCACAAATATACAGTATACCTGGAGAGCATAAACACTTGCAGACATCCATAAAGTATGACATCTTATTCAAAACAGCACTCTTCTTTCTTGCAAAACCAGCAAAATTCCAAAATCATTCAGTAGTTAAGATGCGTATTCTTAAGAAACTTTTTTCCCCACAATATTCTACAAAATGGGTGTTCACATATCTTGTATGCAAATATTGACCAGAACTATAAATCACACATGACATTGACAGAACATGAGTACAATTTGCAAATTGAAATCAGTAAATGTAAAAAATAGCATCAAGATAAATGTAAAAAATATTCTATGAGGAGTCTAAAACAGAGGCCTTCATAAACTGGCCATCATACATTTTCCAGTGTTTGAGATGTTCAGAGATATTTTAGCTCATGCTCTATGTGACTGCTGGACAATGAACATACTCTCAACCAGGGGCATCATGCACTCATTATTTTTGAGGGGACACGAATGGGGGTGGGGTGGGGGTATGTGTTGGTGTCATGTGACACACAGCAGCCACAATAGCACTTATGTTATTTTTTCCTTTTTATTCGAAACATTCCCAAATGCATTAACTATATCATGAAAAATCTTGATTCTCACCCATGTTATTTGATCTATAGTGGGCGATGGTCAAAAGTAGTCTAATAATGTAGTCTATTAACTATGCATAAAACCTGTCTGTTTATTTAAAGGGATAGTTCACCCAAAAATGAAAATTAGCCCATTATGTACTCACCCTCAAGCCATCCTAGGCGTATATGACTTCCTTCTTTCAGATAAATCCAATCGAAGTTACAGTATATTAAAAATTGACTTTGATCTTCCAAGCTGTTTAATGGCAGTCAGCGGGTGTTGCAGTTCATCAAAACAAAAAAAGCGAAATAAAGTGCATGCATCCAAAATAAAAAGTGCCTCACACGGCTCCGGGGGGTGAACAAAGGCCTCCTGTTGCGAATCGATGCGTTTTTATAAGAAAAATATCCATATTCAAAACGTAATAATCACTTTAATCTAGCTTGCGCCAACAGTTGTTCACGGAAGCAGCTCCGGGAGGATGACGTAAGATGTCGGCGTTGCGCATGCGCCAGTGAGTCTTGTGAAAACCAACATTTGTTTACAGGTGCAAAGGAAGCAAAGTTTCCTTACTTTAAACAAAAAGAAAACCAGTCTCCTCTTGGCTTATATTGAAATCCTCCGACATTCTTCTCTACAAATCCTCATTTTGTACTTCTAATTCGTGACCGTTGTTTTGATCTCTCCCCTGCACTTCCTCGTTCATCACTTCTGAGCGACGCATACGCAACACAGACGTCCTACGTCATCCGCCCACAGCTGCTTCCGTGTACAACAGTGAGCGCAAGCTAGATTAAATTGATTATTATGTTTTAAATATGGTTATTTTTCTTCTTTTGGACTGATGAACTGCAACACCCGCTGATTGTCATTAAACAGCTTGGAAGATCAAAGACAGTTTTTAATATAACTCCGACTGGATTCGTCTGAAAGAAGAAAGTCATATACACCTAGGATGCCTTGAGGGTGAAGAATTCATGGGCTAAGTTTCATTTTTGGGTGAACTAACCCTTTAAGTAAGAGATATGGGTGTCATGCCATAACAGTTTTAATATGACTGACTTTATATTTCATGTGAATTTAACATTGAAAGTTAATGTGAATAAAAACATTGTAAGTTAGGCTACTTATCATAACACTTTCATTGTACAGAAAGAGAGCAAAGAACATTTACATGATCAAAGAACATTTTCACTGTTCTCAAAAAGCACTCTCAAAAACTCCCATTAAAATCACTAAAGCCATTTACACTGTGAAATTAATATCTTACTTATTTATACACACATCTGCACTTTGTTGTTTCTAACGAGAGAATTCGCCAGAAAGAGGTATTCTGTCAACAAGCGAGTGAACAAAACACCGGCATTTTAGCGATGACTCATCGGAACACCTCTGATTGGCCATTGCATTCATAAGCTCAACAGCATCGTGTGTGATTAGTTATAATGCGCAGTGCTTTAAAAACACGTCTGTCTCTGGCTCAGCGCCAGCCAGCGAAATGCAGATTTGAATTTAACAGCTGATGATATGACACGCTGAACGATTTAATCACGCTGGTGTGATTGTATCAAATATACAAAATATTATTCGGCAATTTTTTTGTCTTTTGGAAGCTGCATTCAAAATCCACTTGGCTCAAAAATCTGAGGGGGCACGTGACCCCTCACTTTGAATGGGCATGACGCCTCTGCTCTCAACTACACACAAATATAAATAAAAAATGATAATGTAATATCCAAGCCAAGCCCTCTCCCACCCTCTATCCATCTCATTTCTCATCTGTCCTCTCTTTACCCTCATCCAATTGTACCTAACCTGCTAATTAGAGAGTCTAGAATCACTGTTTTGTTGGTACAGAGAAACGCTGTATCTATACTGTATAAATGTCTGTGGCCATATTCAGAAATTGAGTAAATGTTTGAAAAACTGTCCCTAGGTGTTGCTCTGACACACAGAGGACTCGACTCAAAGAACAGCAGATTGTGAATCTGTTATTTGAAGCAAATAACAAGGCTCACAGCTTTGTTTAACAGTAGGGCCTGGGGAAAATTACAGGGTTTTCCAGCAACATAGTGATTCTAGAATGTTCCAGCTGTGCCACCTGAACAACAGTGTGCTTTTACTAAGAAAGATACAAAATACATAAATGCAAAACACAGAAACCTGTAATGTCATATACAAGCTTAAAGAAATAATTTTTACACAGCATGTTTACTCATATTTTTGGTTTAAAAAAAACAAACTAAATTAAAGCGACAATGAATAACAGTATAGATAAATAACAAAAACTATCACTCTGTCACAACAGTGGAAAACATCTGGCCTTGGCCCTCAACTTTTACCATGTTTTCTTGTTTTTCTCAGAATTTAAAGCGATAGTTCACATAAAAATGAAAATGATGTCAAAATGTACTGTGTTTTACATTGAAAATCCGTGGGATCCAGTTTGATTTTGGATCCATTGACTTTCATTATGTACAAAAACAGTTTGAAATGTCTTCTTTTGTGTTCCACAGAAGAAAGAAAGTCATCTAGGTTTAAAACGATAACGAGGACGAGTAAATGATGACAGAATTTGTTTTTGTGTGAGTAATGACTTTAAAGTATAAAGTCTTAGGGTTTCACAAAACTAACAGAACGCACACCACCACGGCAATCACGACCGCGCTCGAACCTCCCTGCTGTTTCTCCGCTGAGAAGATCGAATGAGAAGAGAGTTGGTGAGAAGTGGAAGGTTAATGGCGAGTGTGAAGAAATGATGAGTTTGTGTGGGACAAGAAGAGAAAATGGAACACAGAGGGAGAACGAGCGTGTTGAGGAGGGTGGGGAGGAAGTAAACAAAAACAATAAGCAATTGTTCTTTTGTCGACATTAAATGTGAGACCCAAGAAATCAGGGATAAATAAGGTCACAGTTTGAGAAATTATATACAAACATAGACGCAATTTCAAATCTGTAGACGTAGACACACACACACACACACACACACACTTATTCTCACGCAAAGACAGAAAAGCAGCAGGGGTTATACAGACCTGTTTTGAACACAGGGTTTCCTTTGAGCAGCATTATGGGAAAGAGAAAGTTGAGTCCGATTGAACAGCGCACAGGAAAAAACACTTTACCATTAACCCACATACACACACAACGAGGCCCATCACCAAGATGAAGACAAACACACACACGCTAAAGTGACCGCACAAGCACTTGACAGCACGCTCAAGGATGAAAGGAAAGAACAGCGGTATTAAGAGTCAGACACATAGAGCAAGGAAAGAGAGGAAAGTAAAATAGAACAGAATCCTTTATTGTCCCAAATGAGGGTAAAGTTAAAGGTGTAGCATCAACAAAATAGAGGACGGACATCATACAAAGATCACATACATAATACAATATACAATATACACAGTGTTTGGTAACAGTACATAATATACAGTGTAAAGGGTTGGAAAGCTAGATCACAGAGTATATACAAGAAAGAGTCCTGAGAGGGAGAGGAGGAGCAGAGAGAGCTGGGACAAGTGTCTACCTCGGTTAGCAGCATTGAAATCTGATGCTTTGTCTGGATCTGCACAGAGGAAATAAAAGAACAATGATTAGTGAGCGGATAACATTTTGAGTGTAAATCTGTGTCTGTGGAGATATGTTGAGTAAATCTGAGTAAATACACTATGTTCAAAAGTTTGGGGGCAGGTAGATTTTTATGTATTTATTTTTAAGAAATGTATTCTTTTATTCAGCAATAAGCATTAAATTGACTACAAAAACTTTCTATTTCAAATAAATGCTGTTCTCTTTAAATTTATATTCATAAGAAATACTGAAAAAAGGTTTCCACAAAAATCTTAATATTAACCTCTTTTTCCAACCATTTTCAACACTGATAATAAAAAAATTCTTGAGCATTTCTGAAGGATCATGTGACACTGAAGACTGGAGAAATGGATGATGAAAATTCAGCTTTACCATCGTAGGAATAAATTACATTTTAAAGTATATTAAAATAGAATTCACTTATTATAATGCAGCATACAGCTATTGCACACTGCATGAGATATGGTACCCCACAATCCACTGTGCACTTGACCATTAGTTTTCAGTGAATTAAATTAACTGGAAGCAATATCCATGATTTTTTAAATCTTCTCAACTTACTATTGCCAAAATTCAGACATTTTTATACAAAGATATTTGGTTGCTACTGGCTGAATAAACCATGCAACGTAATGAGGTCATGTGACAATGTACACTCTAAAAAATGCTGGGTTAAATATAACCCAGCATTTTTTAGAGTGTACAGAAGCACTGTCTGAAATGTATATCCCTGCATTCTGCATACCTATTTACATACAGTTCTGAAAAAAAGAAAGAAAGCTGTATACATTATATATGCTGGGGTGCTTTTTGTGCACACCTTGCTGCTGGTTTATATGTACCAAACTACAAAACTGCAAGTTAACCCAACGTTTTCTGCCCGATATTTACCCAGCGCTGGGTTGCCAGTGGGATAATTTTAACCAAGTAATTTTTAGAGTGTAGTATTCCAGTCCCAACATAGCCTTAGTCTGTAAGAATAGGATGCACTAACCTGATTTGATGGACACTTTGAAGTTCTTGCTGCCTCTTCCATGCTTGTTGTATGCTTCACAAATCACACCATCCTTCAGAACCGCAGCCGAAGCCTCAAGAGTGACCGTGCTGATCACCTTATTCCCCACTACTGTCACTGACTACACACAGACAAACACACAGATGAATATCATTACAAAAATATGATAAATAGAATTTTCTGATGTAAAGATCAAGTTCAAACCTAATTTATTTGAAGCACATACACACACCTCTTTGCCAGAAGGTGTCCAGGTGAACTGTGGAGCAGGATAACCAAGAGCAGAGCAGTTGAGAGTGACCATCCCTCCTTCCTTATCAACAAAACCATTCACTGAAGCATCAATCTCAGGTTTACCTTCAAAATGAAAGCATATGTTTATTATTAGTGCCCCATCTTTGGGTTTATTTGCTTTAAACATTTCTTTGAGTTGTAAATTCCTTGATATCTTTGTAAGCCCATGATGGGAACGTTACATTAAACCAATGAACCGATCTTAACAGGTCTGACATCTGCCTTGTTCTGAGGATTCAGTCAATGGCTTTAAAACATCATATTCTTATGACACCATATTCCATGTGCTCAGTACAATTTATGAACCATATTATAAATGCTTCACCATCCTTTTTTGGAAACCAGGAAAAGGTGTGAACTACACCCACGAATGCTATAAATGCCTTGAAGGCATATAGAACAAAACCAGGAAATCAGCTGCAGAATGAAAGCTTTTCCGATGGCATAGAAAAGATACATGAGACCTTGCCTAGTGTTACAGTATATGTCTCATACTGCAGGGTGACAGTATGACAGACAAAGTGTTTAACAGCTTATGTTAGAGTTTTATTATAGGAATTAGTTCAACAGTAACTTCTCACATTGTTAGTGGCCTTGGACATATATCTTCCTTTGGCATTTCAGCAAGTTGCCTTCAACCAAATGAAACATGATATTTGGAAAAAGGACCATTTTGTTTCCTTTTGATGTAGTTTCTTATTATAAAACATCTCTACTGGCTTTCATGCTTCAATGCTACAACATCCCATAGTAGCTAGCTAAGCTACTATAGCTTAGACTCACTACAACTCTTTACTCATTCAGAATAGCTGAACGTACATGAGTGGCTTAATTAAAGTCTGGGACTTTTTTTGTTTTTTTGTATTTTTTTTACACCCTGAGTTAGGGGTGTATAAATTAAATATGCATGGTGGAAGCAAATTGTTATGGATCATAATAAGCTGTAAATGTGAATGTTGACAGTACCATTTAGTTTGTAAGCATTTTGTTTATTGCCAGGTTTATTGCCTCATTTAGCTGGTTTATGAGCAGACTAACATTTCCCATCATCCTTCATGACAGCACAAGAATGATAAAACATGTTATGCTAAAACACATTAGGTTTGCAAAGAATGCAAACCTAATGTGCATTCTTTACTCTTCATTACGGTGCATTAGTGCTAAAATGCTTCCTGACTTTCTCGGGAATTAAAAAAAGAGCGATAAATACGAAACTGAAAAAAATTACTCTCAAATCACTTGAGTGCACATCATATCATAATTATCATCTGTTCTCATTTCCATGGCAACAGAGACTTCAGGATTATAGATGACTTATGACCTCTAAAGAAACATACACACTACTGTTCAAATGTTTGGGGTCAGCATTATTCATTTAAGAAATTAATACTTTTATTCAGTAAAGATGCATTAAATAAATGCATCACGCACCAAATCAGCTTATTAGAATGATTTCTGAAGGATCACGTGACACTGAAAACTGGAGTAATCGCTGCTTAAAATTCAACTTTGCTGTCACTGGATAAAAATTACATTAAAATAGAAAAGTTATTTTAATTTTCAATAATATTTTATAATATTGTGTTTTACTGTGTTTTGAATAAGATAAATGCAGCCTTGGTGAGCATAAGAGACTTTTTAAAAAATCGTACCAACCCCAAACATTTGAACAGTAGTGTAACAGCAGCGTTTGACAATCTAAGAGCTCAACCTAAGAGGTTTGACATTAAAAGTTTTTAATGTTGTTTCATATCACATTATTTTTATATGGAGATTTTGAATTGCATTTTTACTTAAAATTCTGCTTGATTGGTTACTTTGAGCATAAAAATAATATTTTAAGAACAAACACGCTTTACTGAGACTACCACCTGTATCTAAACATAATATCCACACTACGGAAACCAGCTGGTATAACAACAGACGTCGACAGTTTGTTGACAGCCCATAGTTTAGTTCTACCTCCTGAATGCATGCTGCCTTGATACTGATGACAGCTTGTATTGACACTTTGCACTGATAAACCACTATAAAACTGTGTTTGTCTATGTATGCACTTAGTACCTGTGATGGTAAGGGTGACATTGGCTTGTTTTTGGAGACCTGGCACTGAAGGTACTGCTCCGACACATAAATACACACCAGCGTTAGCCAGAGTCACTGACTCAAGAGTCAACACACCCGTCTGTGACAGCACCTTTGAGTCCTATGGTATACAGTGAGATCAAATGAGATGCTGAGTCGATGAGATCTAGTACAACACATTAGCCAAAAAACAAGATGTACAGCCATATAAAACTTAAAAGTATAGTTTACCCAATAATGAAAATTCTGTCATCATTTACTCCCACTTGTGTCATTCCAAACCCATTATACTTCGGTTCACCTTCGAAACACAAATTAAGATATTTTCTATGAAATCTGAGAGGTATCTGTGCCTCCATTGAAAGTCCAGGCAACCAAAAAGTTGAAGTCATTGTAGCAGTTTAAATTGCTTTGTATGATGAACAGATGTAATTTAGGCTTTTATTTACATCTAAACAATGATCGACACACATACATGGAGCATGTCACATATGGTAAACATGAAAACTCACACACAAATGTATGTGTGATCCACAAAAACCAATGAGGTTTGTTTGTTAGTGCATGATGCACAACACACAATCTTTCGTGTTTACTATTTGTGACATGCTTTATGTATGTGTTTATATGTGAACAGAAGTCTAAATTAAATCTGTTCATCATATTAAGTAATCATATCTCATCACAAGTCTAAACCACTTAATTCATTTGGATTCATTTTACAAAGACTTTATGGCTTTATTGGACATTGGTTACTTGGACTTTCAAAATCTCTCAGGATTCATTAAAAATGTCTTAATTTGTGTTTCAAAGATTAACCTAAATCGTATAGGTTTGGATTGACAAGAAAGTGAGTAAATAATGACAGAATATTCTGTTTTTGGAGAACTATCTGCCAAAATGACAAAAAAAACAAAACAAACAAACTGAAAACTCCAAAGGCAGACACAGCGTAGCACCATTAGAACTAAAAGAACATTATTCAGGAAAAAAAAAACATCAGAGAGAAACATCACAACAGAGAAAATAGTGAGGAAAAATTGGCTTGTTGAAATTGATACGTGCCTTTTTCCACTGCAGGGTGTATTCATCAGAGGACTTGGTCTTACACTGAAGCTCCACAGTATCTCCTTTAGCAGCAAGCAATGGGCCTTCTGGAGTCACTGTCACAGGGTCAAGATCTGACAGAGCGACAAAAGAATGAATATAGCTAAGAGGTGCTGGAAAAATCAATTGAACCTGGACTTAATAACTGATTCTTCACTAAGCCCCACCCTAAAACTTTACTGACCAATCCTAACTTAACTGTCTGTTGCCCTAAGTTAAAAAGTAATGTTACTAGCTTAACAATTTAATTTACATATTGACTGAGGTCACTGTAGTGTTGGAAGTAAGTAAAGAGTTTACAGTACTAGAGTGAATGTGCTACAGAAACATTAGGAACAGTTGTTCACTTCTAATTGCTTTCAAATGATAGTCTTCTCTTTTCAGTTGATGATGAGAAGCAGTGGTGGTATTGTTAACTTAAACTAAAGCTATTAAAAATCATTTTCGAAATGAAGCTAAAATAAAATATAAATACTAGATAAAAAATGTAAACTAAAATTTGAAATGTTGCCTTGGTGAAGTGAAATAAAATAAGTTTAAGTGCTAAAATTACAAAACTGAAATAAAAATAAATTAGCTAAACAGACATATATAAAAAATTAAATTACAAAATTTCTAAAACTTATACTAAAATTAAAAGTAGAACTAAAAATATATAAAAAATACAATCTAATTTAAAATATTAATAAATACTATAATAGTATATAAATAATACAAAAAGTATTCGATTTTTGCCCTTGCCACAGTATTTAATCACGTTGTTCAAGCAAATCTCTTTTTCATTCCAGTGCGATGGTCTGTAAAGCTTGTCTAAATTAGCACTGGTGATGAAGGAGTGCAGAGGTTAACAAAGGATCAGTTATGTGTAATTTAATAACTCATTCGGTTTATTGTATTTATTATAATGTCTGGGATTGATACTTACAGTGCACATTTAAGCTTAGAGTTTCGATAAGTTCCACACCATCCAAGGCGTCAAAGTCCAGAGCTTCACACTTATAGATCCCAGCATCCTTTCGAGTGACACTCTTCACTTTTAACGTTCCTTTCGATCCTTGCAGTACTTCATCCTTACGAGTGAGTAAGTAAATATGAGTGAAAATAATATGGACAAACCACTACTAGATTATTTGGTTGTGATTTGGCATAGATGTCTTTCACCTCTTTGCAAAATTCAAACTCTGGCTGAGGGTTTCCATCAGTCTCACACTCCATCAGCACATCATCCCCCTCTTTGACTGGCCCTTGATTCTTCAGTTTGAAAAACACATTTTCTGTTGAATCTGATTGGAGGAGAGCACAGGATGAGGAGTTTGAGGTAAATGAGCGTACAGTTGACACACGCAGCAAGGGTTACAGTTTAATTGTGAGTGTGTGCACGTCGGACTCACAGAGCAACGAGAGGTTGAATTTATCGGAGCTCTCCTGTTTGATCTGGTTGTTTGGCATGCTGTACTCCACCGTGCAGTGGAAGACTGATTTAGCATCATCTTTAACCGGCTGCATGAACAGCGTGCTGGTCATGGTGTACAGGCCCGAGGCTTCCTTCACCACACTAGGTATCATATACGTTTCTGAGAAAGAGTGAGACATTAGAGAGAGAGAGATTAACTTTACTTTAAGATGTCTAAAATTCTGTGAGGGGTACTGGAATACTACTATGCTAATTAAAAAAAAATACATTATACAGTATATCTATTCTGAAAGGTATTTAATAAAGTTGAATCACTTCAGTATTTTGGGGGACTTTCATATTATATTTCAACATATTTTTTGGTTACAATGTAAATATTTTCACTGTCAATTTTTATCAATTTAATGCACCTTTGCTAAAAATATATATTTTTTAAATTATAATAAATGTGTATATATACTAAATCCCCATTTTTTTGGTCTTCTCAGACATCAATGAGCGGGAAAGGGATTTTAAAGGCATAGAACAATTTACAATTCTGAGCACTTTTCTGATTTTTCGACTTACTTTCCTTTTGGTCCTTTAATTCGGGCAGAGGGGTGGCATCTTTAAACCAGATAATACGAGGCTGAGGGAAAGCGTTCCTGCTGATGCACTTGGCCACCTAAACAAACATACCATACAGAAATGTGACAAGATTTCAGACAAACTTCTTTAAGTCATTGTAACCTTACACAAAATAAATTTACATTTAAAGGCTCACAGTGATCATAAACAGCTATAAACATCTACGTGAGACTCACTTCAGAGGAGGTTGAAGTGTCATGACTGACAGTGATAGCCTGATTATTTCCTGTGATCATTGGCTTCTCCGGAGCAACTGTGATAGGAAAAGAGAAGTTCATTAATAATTTAAATCGAGCCAGAGATGTTTCCTAAAAATATTGCATGCATACACCCACTGCAATTGGCAATATAAATATGAACACATGAGGGGGAATTCACTGAAAGAATTATGACAGTGGATAACTGGCTCTTTTAAATCACTTGACTGCACCACACTGAATTTATACCCAGGATGCTTAGTTATAATGCTCCTCTTCATCATTTAATCATTATATTATGAATAACTGCTGCCACGATCGATAGAAATATACACAGAAAGTTCTATTAAATAAAATCCAGTTTACCACCTGCTGTCTGTAGGCGGTAATAGCGTAACGTTAAATGTGCCAGGCAAATTGTGCTGAATTTAGTGAATAAGGCACAATATAATGAGCCTAATTTGCATGCAAAGTTGTGTTTGTGCTGAAAAGAATGCCATTCACTCAATTTAAATGTTAAGGCTAAAACTGGATTGCAGATAGTGAATAAGAATCAAGTTTTTGCACTGAAATACTGTGTGCAAAAATTTAGTTTAGTGAATTTGCCCCTAAATTTGCAAATGGAAACATAAAAATTAGCTAAATATATATAAAAAGCAAACATTAAGATGCATTAACACTATGACACTACCAATTCTCTTTTCAAATCGAGCTGCAACCTCTCCCCCACCCACCAATTCCCACGCAAGGTCACTGTATCACTGCTCCCAGCTGTCATCTGGTACAAAAATAAACTGAATCATTTTTAATAACATTAGCAGTCATGCCATTCTTCCTAGAGCGCTTTAGTTTCTCAGTCTCTCTAAAATTAAAAGTAGAACTAAAAATATATAAAAAATACAATCTAATTTAAAATATTAATAAATACTATAATAGTATATAAATAATACAAAAAGTATTCGATTTTTGCCCTTGCCACAGTATTTAATCACGTTGTTCAAGCAAATCTCTTTTTCATTCCAGTGCGATGGTCTGTAAAGCTTGTCTAAATTAGCACTGGTGATGAAGGAGTGCAGAGGTTAACAAAGGATCAGTTATGTGTAATTTAATAACTCATTCGGTTTATTGTATTTATTATAATGTCTGGGATTGATACTTACAGTGCACATTTAAGCTTAGAGTTTCGATAAGTTCCACACCATCCAAGGCGTCAAAGTCCAGAGCTTCACACTTATAGATCCCAGCATCCTTTCGAGTGACACTCTTCACTTTTAACGTTCCTTTCGATCCTTGCAGTACTTCATCCTTACGAGTGAGTAAGTAAATATGAGTGAAAATAATATGGACAAACCACTACTAGATTATTTGGTTGTGATTTGGCATAGATGTCTTTCACCTCTTTGCAAAATTCAAACTCTGGCTGAGGGTTTCCATCAGTCTCACACTCCATCAGCACATCATCCCCCTCTTTGACTGGCCCTTGATTCTTCAGTTTGAAAAACACATTTTCTGTTGAATCTGATTGGAGGAGAGCACAGGATGAGGAGTTTGAGGTAAATGAGCGTACAGTTGACACACGCAGCAAGGGTTACAGTTTAATTGTGAGTGTGTGCACGTCGGACTCACAGAGCAACGAGAGGTTGAATTTATCGGAGCTCTCCTGTTTGATCTGGTTGTTTGGCATGCTGTACTCCACCGTGCAGTGGAAGACTGATTTAGCATCATCTTTAACCGGCTGCATGAACAGCGTGCTGGTCATGGTGTACAGGCCCGAGGCTTCCTTCACCACACTAGGTATCATATAAGTTTCTGAGAAAGAGTGAGACATTAGAGAGAGAGAGATTAACTTTACTTTAAGATGTCTAAAATTCTGTGAGGGGTACTGGAATACTACTATGCTAATTAAAAAAAAATACATTATACAGTATATCTATTCTGAAAGGTATTTAATAAAGTTGAATCACTTCAGTATTTTGGGGGACTTTCATATTATATTTCAACATATTTTTTGGTTACAATGTAAATATTTTCACTGTCAATTTTTATCAATTTAATGCACCTTTGCTAAAAATATATATTTTTTAAATTATAATAAATGTGTATATATACTAAATCCCCATTTTTTTGGTCTTCTCAGACATCAATGAGCGGGAAAGGGATTTTAAAGGCATAGAACAATTTACAATTCTGAGCACTTTTCTGATTTTTCGACTTACTTTCCTTTTGGTCCTTTAATTCGGGCAGAGGGGTGGCATCTTTAAACCAGATAATACGAGGCTGAGGGAAAGCGTTCCTGCTGATGCACTTGGCCACCTAAACAAACATACCATACAGAAATGTGACAAGATTTCAGACAAACTTCTTTAAGTCATTGTAACCTTACACAAAATAAATTTACATTTAAAGGCTCACAGTGATCATAAACAGCTATAAACATCTACGTGAGACTCACTTCAGAGGAGGTTGAAGTGTCATGACTGACAGTGATAGCCTGATTATTTCCTGTGATCATTGGCTTCTCCGGAGCAACTGTGATAGGAAAAGAGAAGTTCATTAATAATTTAAATCGAGCCAGAGATGTTTCCTAAAAATATTGCATGCATACACCCACTGCAATTGGCAATATAAATATGAACACATGAGGGGGAATTCACTGAAAGAATTATGACAGTGGATAACTGGCTCTTTTAAATCACTTGACTGCACCACACTGAATTTATACCCAGGATGCTTAGTTATAATGCTCCTCTTCATCATTTAATCATTATATTATGAATAACTGCTGCCACGATCGATAGAAATATACACAGAAAGTTCTATTAAATAAAATCCAGTTTACCACCTGCTGTCTGTAGGCGGTAATAGCGTAACGTTAAATGTGCCAGGCAAATTGTGCTGAATTTAGTGAATAAGGCACAATATAATGAGCCTAATTTGCATGCAAAGTTGTGTTTGTGCTGAAAAGAATGCCATTCACTCAATTTAAATGTTAAGGCTAAAACTGGATTGCAGATAGTGAATAAGAATCAAGTTTTTGCACTGAAATACTGTGTGCAAAAATTTAGTTTAGTGAATTTGCCCCTAAATTTGCAAATGGAAACATAAAAATTAGCTAAATATATATAAAAAGCAAACATTAAGATGCATTAACACTATGACACTACCAATTCTCTTTTCAAATCGAGCTGCAACCTCTCCCCCACCCACCAATTCCCACGCAAGGTCACTGTATCACTGCTCCCAGCTGTCATCTGGTACAAAAATAAACTGAATCATTTTTAATAACATTAGCAGTCATGCCATTCTTCCTAGAGCGCTTTAGTTTCTCAGTCTCTCTTCTTCGCGCATGATCTTTCAGTCACCAAAGCATCTCTCATCGTCTTAATCTATATCAAAATATGTTTAAAAGACACTTTAAAAGCAGCAGAGAACATGTGTTTGCATGGAGATGGATGTCTCTTTCTCTCTCTACATAAGGACATGTCCCTCTGGTGTAGCCATTAGCCATGAAGCAGGCAGCAGCATTTGTCTCCAGGGAGGAGATGCCATTGTTTTCCAGTCCCATTGATCTCATTCACAATTATTACATCCATTACTGCCTCTCTCGCTCCATGCAGTCTGGAGTGGAAAATGAACAAAAAGCCGTTCTGCTGTTTTCTCTGGTCTGTATACACGCACACTCTATCCCACCGAGCCTACGCACTCCTACGCACAAACAGTTGTCTAGTTTTTCATAAATTGTCCTCACCAGTGACCCCATCACACTCAGCTGGGGGAGGGTCTCATAGACATGCAAAACAAAAATAAAAAATCTATCAACTGTGATAAAAAATATTCTATAAATCATGATCATTTAAATACACCATGTATTACACCGTGTCTGTAATATATAATATACATACAGTATTACACCACCTTTTAGAGTAAACATATATGTGTGTAGAAATATATACACCACATGCACACAAGTACACTAAGGCTGCATTTATCTGATAAAAAAATTACTGGAAAACAAAACAAAATACTTATTAGGAAATGTTTTTACTGTGAATTTCACAGCTGTCTGCAGATTCCCAGTTACAGGGAAGTTACAGTCACAAGTCTAAACCACTTAATTCATTTGGATTCATTTTACAAAGACTTTATGGCTTTATTGGACATTGGTTACTTGGACTTTCAAAATCTCTCAGGATTCATTAAAAATGTCTTAATTTGTGTTTCAAAGATTAACCTAAATCGTATAGGTTTGGATTGACAAGAAAGTGAGTAAATAATGACAGAATATTCTGTTTTTGGAGAACTATCTGCCAAAATGACAAAAAAAACAAAACAAACAAACTGAAAACTCCAAAGGCAGACACAGCGTAGCACCATTAGAACTAAAAGAACATTATTCAGGAAAAAAAAAACATCAGAGAGAAACATCACAACAGAGAAAATAGTGAGGAAAAATTGGCTTGTTGAAATTGATACGTGCCTTTTTCCACTGCAGGGTGTATTCATCAGAGGACTTGGTCTTACACTGAAGCTCCACAGTATCTCCTTTAGCAGCAAGCAATGGGCCTTCTGGAGTCACTGCCACAGGGTCAAGATCTGACAGAGCGACAAAAGAATGAATATAGCTAAGAGGTGCTGGAAAAAAAAAAAATTACATATGTGATAGCAATGATGGCAATTTTACTGGATAATTGGACTTGGTTTTGGCGGGAATGATCGAGGGCTGGATAGGCGGCTAGATAACACTCATAATAATTTGTCAGACGGTTCTTCACCGCAGCAGCCTCAGAGTTACACACAGTGAGAAATGATCCACATGCTGTGAGTCTGAAACAGCCATTGTGTTCCTGGTGCCTCCAAACATGAAGCCCAGCTGCACAGGACCAGGTGTAAGAAAGAGCAAGAAAAAAGACTGTCGATAACCCTTTGCTCTCACAAAATCGGGTAGTAGGAGCGTGTTAGGGAGTCCACAGTGAAACTTGGCGATATATTTCATAATTCAATATATTTCCAATGATTTTGAAGGCAATATAAAATGAAGAAACATTATGAACATTTAATAGAGTTTAATGCATCTTTAATTTCTCAATCAAGTTAAAACACTTTTTTCCCCCTGCGGATTGCAATATATATGGCAGTTAAAGATACTTTGTCTATAAATGTTCAAAAGAAGAAAAAACTTTGTTAAAAAGAAGTTTTGTTGTATCACTTTTGATCAATTTGATGCATCCATGCTGAAAAAGGGGAAAAAAATCTTACTGAGTCCAAACGTTTGAATAGTAGTGTAGATGAGCACATATAAAGGAAAATTATTAAATATCATTTTTCTTTGTATTCATTTAGTATGTATGAATAAATAAATAAATCACTGTGTGAAAAACATGCCTTGATTATTTATCTAGATTTTTCTTTTCATGTAGTTAACAATTTAAATCTTTTTAGTGGAAATAAATGCTTCCTCTGATTGAAAAACAAACACCTATAAATATTAAATATCAAAGCTAAAAGGTAAAAAAAATGGTGTGGCACATTTTTTGAGCGACCCACCAAAATAACTTACACTAAGTTATTTAGGTTTTTCAAAACACTTCCCATCTCAGACTACGTTTTGGTGTGTAATCTAGAATGAAACCCAGATTAAAAGTCATTTTGTGTGTGTGTGTGCGTGTGTGTGTGTGTGTACCTGGTATTTATCACGTTATGGGGACCAAATGTCCCCACAAGGATAGTAATACTAGTAAATTTTGACCTTGTGGGGACATTTTTGAGGTCCCCATGAGGAAACAAGCGTATAAATCATACAGAATGAGTTTTTTTGAGAAAAAGTTTCCTGTAAGGGGTAGGTTTAGGGGTAGGGTTGGTGTAGGGCAATAGCACATACAGTTTGTACAGTATAAAAACATTACACCTATGGAATGTCCCCATAAAACATGAAAACACAACACGTGTGTGTGTGTGTGTGTGTGTGTGTGTGTGTGTG